GAAGCCACCACTGTAGCCCCCCTGCTACCAAGAGCTTGCTGTGCAAACCCATTACAGTCATGATCTCCGTTCTTGCAAATAAAATGGACCAGGCACATCCCACATCCATGGCCTGAGGTTTCTTGCCCATTAGGGCAGGGCAACAGCATCCAAGCTGTCAGCTGTAAACAGTCCTTGATGTAAGCTGTTCTCAGGCAGGGTCTGCACATTGTATGGGAAAGGAGTAGCTGGTGCGAGCCAAAATTTTGCTGTGGAACGTGCTAGTAGTTCAGCAGAATGGACAATTACGAGGCAGTGCTCGGGTCCACAAACTCTGCTAGTGCCAACACAGCCCAAGCTGCCACTCATCTCTGCTGCTGGCACTTGCGTAAGGCTGGGCATTGAGGGGCTGAGCCTTGGCAGGAGAAGCTCCTTGGCAGTAGAAGCTCCTTGGCAGCTGTGTCGCAGCACTGTGTTGTAGTGGCCCCACTTGCTGCTGCTTCACGTAATTTTTGCTTTCGTAGGGAGGTGGCAGCTTACTTCTTATGCGTGGCCCAAAGCCTGAGAGCTGTCCTCCTGGAGTAGATCTTGTTCTTGTCTTTCTTCCAGACAAAGAGCACTTGAAGGAGAAGGAGAAGCTGGAGATGGAGTTGGCAGCTGTGCGCTCTGCCAATGAGGACCAGCGGAGGCACATCGAAATCCTCGACCAGGCCCTAAACAACGCGCAAGCCAAGGTCATCAAACTGGAAGAGGAGGTGAGGCATGGGCAAAGTTTCTGTGCTCTGAGCGTAGCTGTGGCTTATGGTTAGGGCTTTCTCCATCCAAGTTCTGAATCTCTTCTAGCCGTGGTGTGGAAGGTCTTCCTGCTCCCCTTGCACTAGGTGTACAATACTGAGCCAAACAAGCAAGCCAAGGAGACAACAACCATAGATGTTTTCAGAGCAGGGCCTTCCACATGTAGCCAGGAGCAACACCAAACTCAACTAGCTGGTGGCTGAGGTAATGGTAGGACTTAGCAGAAATATCAAATGAAAAGCCGACTACTCACTAACTTGGGACTGCGATACAAACATGTGGTATTTGTGCATCCCATTTCTCCCCAAAGAATGCCAGGAGGCTTTTGAGATGTGCACGGCAACACAGCAGTGTAGGGCTCGGTAACTTCACATCTAAACAGTGATCTTAAATGATCTGGCTGATCTGGCTGGAAGCAGATCATCCAGGATTTAGAGGTACAAAGAGCTACAGGTTTTATTTGAGAGCTGAAAAAAACTTACCATGCCATGAGACCCAAGAAATTCCATCTGTGCAAAACTCCCAAGAGATCTTTAAACAATGGTCCTATAAACCTGATGGTGAAAATAAGGATCCAGATGGGAAGAGAAATCCCAGGAACAGAGGGCTCTTCAAAGTGACACACAACTACAGAACAATATCTAGTATCTGGAAGCTGAAGCTGGACAAATTCAGAGCAGAACTAATGCTCAGTTTTAACTGTAAGTAAGAGTGATGTTGTCAGTTCTCCATTATTGGAGGTCTCTAAGTCTCAAATTATTGTGTTCCTTAAGGACCTTCAATCAGGAGATGTGAACTTAATAACTAGCTGAAAGTCTATGCATTCTGGCAGATCAGGCATAACTGTTAAAACAGGCCTTTTTGGCCATAAAACCTCTGTCCATGGGACCAACAGAGAGGGAGGAAGTTTTGTGGGGACTAAAAGAAAAAGAAACTTAATCTCTATTATCTGAGTGGGTAGGTCATTGGTGAGGGGAAGTCCCTTGGTGAACCTCTACCCTAGCAGGCTTTTTAGAGATTTGGGCTCTGGCACAGACCGCTGGCATGATCTTGGGCCTGTCTGTTCCCTTTCAGTGCCTTATTTCCCACCTGCACCCTCCTCAGGGCTGGCCTGGGGATGAATCCACAGGAGCCCTCTGGGTGCAGGATGCCAAAGGTCTTGTGGGGAGCAGGAAAGGTCTTTTCTCAAGTACCTGCAAGTGACAAGTGCAGTTCATTGTCTTGGAAAGATGAAAGGTGAATTTTTCCTCAGTGATACTTGAATGTTTTTTATCAGGGTATCCAGCATGACAGACCCCCTGTTAGGCTAACTAATGGTTACTTAGAGTCTGGAAGGTTTCAGGTACTATATGTAAGTGCTGAAGGCACTGCTGTTTTGTTGCTGACCACTAGACCATTCTGACTTCCTATTTAGAAACACTTTAAAAACTGCATTCCCTCTGGTGGATACGCTCAGCAGAAGAGGATCAAACTAAGTTGAACTGCTCCTTTGTTAGTTAGACTAAAGCCTGCTCACCATCTCAGTGTATTTGGGGCTGTCCCTTTGGGATAGCTGCAGGAGCTAGCGTACCTTTAATCTGTACATAATTCACTTGACACTGTTTGCCTTGAAGGAAACCAGAGGTTTTCTGTTTGCGCTTCATTATGAAGCGGCTGAATAAAGGAACGTTTTTAGGTGGGCAACACCTGCTCCTGCAGTTGTGGCATCACGCAGGGGATGGAAATAGGTTTAGCTCCTGGCTGCTCCACAGACTGTCAGCGTGCCATTGGCAGGTAGCACTGACTTGCTGAATACACACCAGTGAAGGCAGCAGAAGCATAAACACAGATTTCCAGGCAGGTGGTGTAAGAAGCTACCGTGTGCCTGCTGGGTTGTAGTAAATATGTTTGCAGCCTTAGGACTCTGTCTCTAAGAGCTTTGCAGTTGCCAGTTTCTAGTCTAGTCATCCAACAGAAATGTGCCCCTGCTGGGGTTTGGACCTAGGATCCTGGATTGTGGACTGGTGGGGCTGAGGAGAGGGCAAATATTCCCATCTGGAGAGCTGCTAAACTCCTGCTCAGGGCATGGTAGTCGTTACAGAGGTGGTAATCTCTTGCACAGGGCATGGTAGACCTCAGGGGCGACAACATCTGAATGATGCAACAGTATTAGCTGGAGTTTGTATGTCAGAGCCCTCAGCCTGAGCAAACCCACATTAACCTGGTAGTGTTTAACTGCTTTTTTTATTCTAGGGGGAGTTCAAATTAATTTTGTGCCAGCTGCTGTGTTTCAATTGTTCAAGGCAGTGTCATGCAGCTCAGGTGAAGTGCAGTTAATCTGTGGCTGCTGGCGTGTGCCCAAGCTCCTGTGCTCTCCTCCCCTTGCTTTTGGCCTGTTTCATCACTAAGTCAGAGCACCGTTTTAACAGTCTCCAGTGTTTCTGGAGCTCAGTTTGACACATAGGCAGCAGATGTTGAAGTTTTGAACCTTCATCTTAAACCTGGGATTTTTACTATAATTTAGAGTATATTGAAGGAAACACAAAATCACTCAAATGAAAATCCACCCAGATTTCTTCTACCACCAGAATGTAATTAAGTTTAAAAGCTTTTTAAATCAAGGCTTGAGAAATAAGCAATAGCTACTAAGTTGAATTAACATAAGATGGCATATTATGTAAATCTACATTATCCTGAGCGCCTGCTAGTAGAAGGATTTAATTCAAAAATATGTAGGTGGTATTATCACCACATGTCATTTAGGAGCCTGTTTCTGGAATTGTGTGTCTGGTCCCTGCTTTGGGTAGAAGACTGAATAATTGGAGAAAGTTCAGAAAACAGCTGTAGAATTTGTTTCGGGCCCAGAAAGAACAGAAGCTGTTCTTTGCTGTGAACATTTACAGTGAAGAGGTTGCTGAGCTCCAGTCCATGCATATGAACGTGCAGAAGGGATTGCTGTCAGCTAGATTAAATGTTGCTCTTTAACGTAAGAAGAAATAATGAGATGCAGTGTTTGGAGGCTGAAGCTGAGCAATTCAGGCCAGAAATAGAGTTAGAGTAATTAACACTGAAGCAGCCTACTTAGGGTGATAGTGGATGCTCCATCTCCTGCAGTCTTTAACTCAAGTCTCATATCTATAGAACAGATATTCTGTAGATAAAACTGGAGTTATGTTCCTAGTGCAGGTATTTTTCCAAGACCCACTCATCTTTACTCAGATTTATTTGCTTGGATCATCCTCTTTTAGTCTTGGAAGTTCTTCATTTTTATTGTCCTAATCCCTAGGACAAGGGCAGTGTTCAGGCAAGTTTGCTGATCTTGTGAATATGTGAATTGTTTCATTAAATGCTTCTTGCTCTAGTAGATCACAGTTTGGAAACAGCACAAGAAGTAATTTGCTTAAATTGCATAAGAGAAAGCCAGATTAAGCATTAGGGTAAAAGTTTTCTGGCAGTAAAGGAAAATAAGCCGTGAAGTAGTTTGCAGGGGTGGGATTTGGAGTCCCTACCCCTGGAGGGTTTTGTAAACAGATCACGCAGACGTGTGCCAGGTTTTAGGTAGAGTTGATCCCACCTTGCAGCGGGAGGATGGACTGGTACCTCTCCAGGTGCCATCCAGCTTTTTTTTCATTTACGCCTGTGTGCCTTTGAGGTAGTGGAGCTTAATATCATCTATTGCTGATTCAGTCCCCCTCCCTTACGGATTCATACTGCACTGACGAGCCCATTAGTTTGAATAGCAACATTTTGTACTTTGTTTTTTAAACGTGTGGGTAAATTTTTTGCTTGTGAATCCACAGGCAGGATAGAAAAGTCAGAATTGGCTCAAGAACCTCCCTATAAATTCATGAATGTGGGAACTGTCTCATTGCATGTCTCCAACAAAATTGTTTTCTAAGGTGGTGGACTCATGTGCAAGCATGTGAACCCTGGGGCTTAGAGGGCTGCTGCAAAGCCAAAATTTGGCTGCTGTGATACGGATGGACCCTCCAGCATCTGGGAGGGGGTGGGAGAGCAGATGAGATTTGCTGCCAAGGAGAGACCCCAGGGGAGCCCCCTTCCCCTCTCTGATCCACACTGGTGTGGCTGGGAGGTGGCACAGGCACCTTCCTACTGCCAAAACAGCACATTCAGCAAGAAGTCACCACTGTGCCTGTCTTGCCAAGTCGTAAGATCCTGAGGAATGCGATCTTCGTGCTGCTGCCAGAGACTTGTAGGGATTATAATCTCATTAATTTTCATGGAAAGCCCCAGCTGTAAGCGTTAGCCCGGATTACAGCAGGGCTAGGGAGGTCATGCTGCCAGTTGTTCGCTCTGGCTGGGGAGGTTTGTTCAGGCCAAGCTTTGCTTTTGCTGTGAACAAGCCTGTAGCTCACTTCATCTGTGACATGGATGGATTTAGGGTGACGGAAGAGAAGTTTCAAGAAACAGTGTGCACTGTTGCTTTCTCTACTACAAGGCGATATCTTTAGAAAGGTAAATTTATTCATGCTTATGAAGAGAAAGTTCATGATAAAAGGTTGGGGGAGAAGAAGGGAAGTGGGTTTCCCAAGGTTAGGACTGCAGCCCATGGAGTGAGCAGGCAGACCCCGCTGCCGCAGCCCTATGGGTGAGTTTTTGGGTCAGTGTCTACACTCCCCAGGGACAAGGATGGCTCGTGCACACCCAGGTGTGCCTGGCCCCCGTGAGCTTGCCCCTTCTTGGTGCCGGATTTTGGCTGGGGGTCAGTTTTCAGCACAGGCTTTGCTGCCTGTCCCAGTGCCCAGCACAGCTGATGCCAAACATGTCCAGTGTCTGCGGTCTCCTCTCCCTGAGGGCCAGCTCCTGCTGTGCACCCTGATCCCAGTACCCTGTGGTGTTGCTGAATGCCTGCTGGCATGGTAGGAGGCCAGAAGAAGTGGAGGTAGTCGCTAAGCACCTTGAACATCTGCAGTCCACTTGCAAATTCCTTTTGGGGTATGCTGCTTGAGCAATCTCTGGGCATAAAACCTGGTATTGCAAAATCCTCCTGTCATGTTTAGGCCTTCAGTAATTGTTATATACATAAGGAGGGCCTGGCTTTAGCTGCCAGCAGATCAATACATCGGCATGGCCAAGCCCTTGAGCAGGACAGAGCAGGTGGAGTGCTTCTGGCTGCTGGCACTCCTCTTGTTCCTCCTATGTTGGACAGATATGTGGGGTTGAAAAAAAAGAGACTTTGTCTGGGTGCAGACCATGTGCCGAGTGTTCCCGGTCAATAAAACCCGTGGGCATTCCTCTTTGCTGAGGCCAGCCTGATGTGCTTGCCCAAAGAGTATCCACCAACGTGACGGCTCTTGCTTAGAAGTGGCCAGGGAGTTTCATGGCTAGTGGATCCCCAAGGGGTGGAAGGTCTGGGCAGCGTTCCCTCTGAAAGGGATACCATCTTTGCCCTGGAGAAACTCTCCAAAGCAAACGGCCAAAGCCGTGCTTGAGCCCAATGCATGCCTGCAACTGCGTGGGGGTCCCCGTGGCTCAGGGTGGGGGTACGGTGCCCCCCCAGCACTGCTGACCCTCTGTCTTCCGCAGCTGCGCAGGAAGCAGGCCTATGTGGAGAAGGTGGAGAAGCTGCAGCAGGCACTGACGCAGCTGCAGGCGGCCTGCGAGAAGAGGGAGCAGATGGAGCGGCGGCTGCGCACGCGCCTGGAGCGGGAGCTGGACTCGCTGCGGATGCAGCAGGTGAGGACAGGGTGGTCTGTGTGGGACCCCAGCACAGCGCCTTGGGTGTTGCTTTTCAAGAGGGACAGTCACTTGCAGCCCTGCCGGGTGCCGCCTTGCTTTTGGGTTCAGGTCATTGGGCTTTCGCCTTAAGCCTTTCCTTTGGATGGGGTTGTGGATGCCCCCTCATTGGAAGTGTTCGAGGTCAAGTTGGATGGGACCTTGAGCCACCTGATCTAGTGGAAGATGTCCCTGCCCATGATGGAGGGGTTGGACTTAGATGATCTTTGAAAGTCCCTTTCAACCCAAACCACTCTGTGGTTCTAACTGCTGATCTTCAGCGGAGGATGGGGGACCTCCGCAGTGAGGCTGCTGGACACAGCCAAGCCCTGCCTCCTGCGAGGCCCTGCCTCCCCTGCCCAAGGACAGGCTCTGCCCTCACATGTCCCCCCACACCTGCTGGGGGAAAACATCCTTCCACATTTCTCTCCAGTAATCATAGATTGTGCAAGATCAGCCCCACACTGAAGGAGGAGAGGAAAGGTGTGGTACACATGGGCATGAGATTTAGCCCACAGATTCTGGCTGATCTTTCACTGGAAAAGCAAGGTGGGATTTGGTGGGGGCAAGAGCTTGGGCTATAATTGTTCTGGGCAGAGCTGATATACGTGGTTCACAGAAGCCTCTACCCGTGACAGATCTGGAGACAAATGGTGTCATCTTCAGACAATAAATAATTTAAATATCAGTCCAGTCCAGAATGGGCTAGAAGCGTAGATTTGCATTTCTATGTATGTCCCCTTGTTTTTTGGCAGCCCTGTGCCCTTAGAGAGATAGTGTTATGCTTGTGTTTTATGCACAGTTTTCCTTTGTTATTCCTTCTCCATCCCCAAGTCCCAAAGTCCAGTCATCTTTGAAAAGAAAAAAAAAAAAGGCACAAGGAGCTTGAAGGGAGGATTTCCAGGCTGCAGCTGGCACCGAGTGCCAAATACATGGCCATTGGCTCCAGAGGAGAGCAAGCAGATGTACTAAGTGTATCAAACCACCACCTGGGGAAAAAACAGCAGCATAAGCAAAGCGTGATGCTCTTGTAAGTCTTGAAGGACTCACTCGTATCTCTTGTCAGCACAAGCATCTACTGCAATAACCTTTCCTTATTTCTGAGCCAGTGGAGACCAAAGCAGCTGTTACACAGAGCTTGTGCTGCCAGAAAGAGAGGGGCTGAGCCTGCCAGCAGGATGCGATTGGGAAATAGCTCTGCAGGCAGTGTCAGTGGTTTGCAGAGTCGCCAGGTGGCCAGACCTGAGAGCATCACCTTCTCACCGGCAGCCCCAGGGCAGGGCAGGTCACCCAGCATCCCTCCAACAGCACTCTCACTGCTGCTCCCTGGAGACCCTTCCCATCCATCTTGGCTCCTTGTTGCCATATAAGTGCATTAAGTCTTTCTTGCCCTGTCCACCATGGGCTTGCTGTTCCTGTCTTCTTCCAGTAGATCTTCTCAGTTGCCCCTTAGCCAGCTCTCCTCCAATTTAACAAAGAAATTTCGTGGGATATGACATGCCAATGCTGGTGTAAATGAAAGAACATGCGAGAAAATTCAAATTCAAGTGAAGATAAAACTAGAACTAGGAAAGGTTTTGTTCTCTGAGCTGCAATATAGGGGCAAATCAATATATTAAGTAACTGGGACGGACTGTCACTGAAGTCCTTGTCTTGGGAGTTCAGGCTACGTCTGCTCGTTTTGGCATAAAATTCCTCTGTAACTTAATAGATTGCTTCATTTTTAAATTTTGTTTTTTGGCACTGTAATTGGCAATTGGGATTTGAGTTGCCATAGTTCTCAAATGCCTGCACCAGTTCTCTCTAGTAAGTTTTAAAAAGAAAGAGACTCTAACTTCATGTCTCGCCTATCAGCTTTGAGAGGAGACTTTGGGGTATTTTTTACTATTGTTATTTATACTTTCTGTTTTATGAGCCACAACACTTCAATCAATCATGTTGCATGAAAATGCCCCAGCTTTTTACTTCAAACCTGTCTTCTCTGAGTTACCGAAGTTGTATCTACTGAAACATTTTGTCATCACAGAGAAAAAAAGAGCTTTTTTCTCCATTTTACCAGAGTCAGCAGAAGAGATGCAGCACACAAGGAGACAGCAAGCCAGAATCTCTGCTGTTCCTGGCTTGTAGGTAACCGAGTCCAAATGGCAAATCTTTGTTATCACTGACGCATGAGCCAGGACCAAAAAAAAATCCCTTGGACTGAGCCTTGCAGGCTGAGTATGCAGGGCTGGCAGAGGTTTTGTCTCAGGAGACAACAGGCACCGGTGATGTCCCAAGATGCCATTTACAGACCAGGACTGTGCTTTCAAAATACTACCTTCCTGCCAGAGATTTGGCAATATTTCAAGTTTAAGTGCTGTTTTTTGCAGGAGCAGAGCTGCAGCCATTGCTCATAAGGGCTGTTCCATATTACATTTCCAGAAACCAGCTTCCAAACGCATCGTTACCTCACCAATGGCAGAGGCTGCAGCCCTCCCCTGATATCTCTAGTTTCCCAGATAAAGCAGGAGAGAAGTTTCTAGAAGGAGGAAATGTGACCTGGAGAACGGAAATGGTTGCTGCAGCCCTTGCTGCGGTGTGATGGTACAGCTTTGCCAGTGGAAGTTCGTGGTGTAGCACGGATGAGAACCCAGTGTTCCCGAGACACGGTTTCCCCTTTAACACAATACTGTGCACTGTGGAGTGAACGAATCTCTTGCATTTTTTATTGAAAAAAAACACTTACTTCTACTGAGTTCTCCCAGAGCTTCGCGCCTCTCCCCTCGGTGTGTGCTCATCCCACCCAGCCTCTGCTGGGCCGAGGACTGGATATCCATCCTCCTCCACTCTCCACCAGCAGTGAGAGGAGCTCGGGGCAGCTGCCCATGCCTCTTAGGTGCTTTGATTAAGTGCCTGTAACTGGGTGGGATAGATCCTGCCTGGGTAAGTGCTTTCCTCACAATGTAGATGCAAAGGGTTCCGCACCCATTGCTGCTGGTTAGCATCCCATGGGAGCCACCCCGCAGTGCCTGGGGATCTTCTGCCCCTCCGGTCAGACAGTTACCTGCTGCACCACAGAAGACATGTCCTGAGGGCACGTGAGAACTAATGTGCCAGAAGAGACAGGTGTAAATCCATGTCTGGGGCATTTTCCCAGCTGCTGTTTTAAATGGGTTACACGTCGCTTTTTTTTCTGCTTTTATATATAAACCCTCTGGTAATAGCTGTGTGTCCATACCAAGCACTGCCCAGACATGTGATGAAGTCCCAGCAAGAAGAATATCTTTTAAAGCTTTGTTGCTTCTTTTTCCTACCAGCTTTTTTTCCCGCCTTTTTCCTTGGCTTGGGGTATCCCATGAAATCCCTGCACATCCAGGGGGCAGCCAGATCCCTACTTCTGTCAGCATGGCCTGCCCTCCTGCAACCTAAGGTGTTTAGCCTGGGGTTTCCACCTGCTCCTGTCAAAAGACATGAAGATGTCTTCTCATGCTCCAGAGAAGTGGGGGGAAAAATGGGTCAGCAGCTCCCGTACTTGGCAGAGGGTGACTATCTGTTGTCGTTTCCACCGGCAGAGGCAGGGCAGCTACCAGGCGAGCAGCCTCCCGGAGCACAATGCCCCAGCCCTGATGGAGCTGGTGCGGGAGAAGGAGGAGAGAATCCTGGCCCTGGAAGCCGACATGACCAAGTGGGAGCAGAAGTACTTGGAGGAGAGTACGATCAGGCACTTTGCCATGAATGCCGTGGCCACAGCTGCCACAGAGAGGTAAGGTGGCCTTGCTGCAAGCGGGCAGCTCTCCTCACCGCGGAAAGCATGGGGGAATAATAAGGAATGGATATTTTCTTAAGTCTGGATTTCACTTGCCTTTCCCTGCTGAGTTGCACCGCCAGGGTTAGTGCATCTCTCTGTGGTGCCATGCCAGTGAGATACAATAGCTGGTTAAGACAGGATTTACCCTTCTGACCAGGTCCAAAAGTTTACCGAATCCAGGCACCAGACTCAAACCATGGCCTCTGCAGCAAAATCCTGGGCTGACAAATTACACAGGATAGGAAAGGCAACTCCCCCCTGCCTCACTGATAGAGCAAGCAGGGACTGTTGGTATATGGCTGCATCCATCGCATGGTCTGCAACCTGGTTGTTTAACCTAGTTTTAAAACCCTGTAGTGAGGGAAATTTTTTGGCCCAAGTCTCCTCTTTCACAGCTTCATTAAGCTTCAAATTAGAAAGGTTCTTCTGATAGCTGAGATAAACCTCTTTACTGCAAATTACCTCAGTTGATTCTTGTCCTTTCCAGGAATACATGATGAACAACAGATCATTGTCGACATTGTAACAGCCTTGCAAATATTGCAAGACAGATATGCCCTGTTATATCTTCTCTGGCCTGAACTGCCTTACTTCCTTCAGCCATTCCTCACGTGTTCTAGTGTAAACTCCTTCCTGTTCATGTTGCATTTGTCTGGACTGTCTCCAGTTTGTCAGTGTCAAAGTGTGGTGCCCGGAAGCACAAAAGGCACTGCAGTGAGCCTTTCCAGCGATGAGGAGGACAGGATAATTAACTTCTCGCCCCAGTTTCTTAGAAGCCAAATCCCCTGAAAACATCTTAAAATGAGATTTCACTTTGAAATGAGGTTAAGTGCATGACTCAGAATGATCCTTTTCTTTTGCACACTAGTCTAGGCAGCAATTCTGTGCTATTTTTCACCTTCCAAAGTGTACAATTTTGTTTCTTGTTTGCGATGTAATCTTGTTGACTTGGGACCTTTTCCCCCGTGAGTGAGTCCCTCTGATGTCTGACCCTGTCCTTCAGGTTGATTGTTAGCCCCGTGGGGGTCACCCACGATTTCAGCATGCTCTCTGTTCCATCAGCACAGTTAATTAATGGTGTTAATGACTAAACCCAAGCCAAGAGCAGCCTGCAGCAAGATGATCCAATGCCAGACAGCCATCTGCTTGACAGGCAACCATCGCTAGCTTGCTCTTTGAATGTGGGTTTGGGGTTTTCTTTGCAAGTGCCCATCTCACTTGCAAGAGCCACCGTCGTGGCCTCAGGAGCCCGACTCACCATGCTCAACCGCTTTGCCC